ACCCCCTTGCGGCCACCTCCGGGCGGCAGGTGGATGAGCCCACGTGGGGGACGGTGGGAGGCCCGTCATGTGCTCTGCAGGACGGGCCTTCCTGGTGCAGGGCTGTTGGCCATCAATTCACCTCCTCCTTCTGCACTGAAAGGGAAGCTGGAACCGTCGCCGTGTTTTCTGATAAATTACAGCCACCCGGTCCCCAGCGCTGCACCCAGAGGATCCCAGCACTTGTATAAATCAGGCTAATGGAGGCTCAGGCTGTCATTTTCAAGAGCCGGCATTCACTCAGCAAACCTTCTGGAGACCCTGCTAGGAGCCGGGCCTGCGCTGAGCACGGGGGTGCGGACAAACCGGAGGTGGTCCCAGCCTGGGGAAGGCCCACAGGCTGGAGGGGCAGGTGGCAGCGACCAGGCAGCCTGGTGGAAGGACCCGGCTCCACCGCCTCCTCGCTGTGTGGCCTTGGGCCAGTGTCTCAGCCTCTCTGAGCTTTAGTTTCCTTTCAAAGGATGGTTGTAAAAATTCAATGACAGTGGGCCCAGGGCCTAGCTCAGTGCCTGGCACCTGGGGCACAGTGAACAGCGAGCACCCCCTCGTCCCCTCTGCCCCCACCGCCTGTGGTGAATCCCACCTGGGGCTGTGGGAAGACCGAGGAAGGAACGGTCGACTCCAGGGACCCAGGGAGGATTCACAGAGCAGGGGATGTTGACGTGAGGCGTCCAGCACAGGGGTTAGGGGGCGGGACCGAGCAGGACTCTGTGCAGGAGGGAAGCATGGAGAGAGGAGAGCTAGGAAGTGGGCGGAGGCCGGGTGCCGGTGAGGCAGGGTGCGGGTCCCGGTGGCGGGTGCCTGCAAGGGTGGAGGGGACAGGCTGTTGCAATGGTTCTGGGATGAGCCCAGTCTGAGGGTAGAGCAGCCGGGCTGAGAAAGCCCCCAGTGGGTGCTGGGGTGAAGAGGAGAGTGAGGTTGAGCCAGAATCGGGGTGCACATGGCCAGACGGGGCCACCCAGAGGACACACGCTCATGGGCAAGGAGGACACACACGTGGAGACAGCCGCACAGAACACACAGAGGCGACAGGGAGAGACGGACACACACACAGACAGGCACAGGTGCGCAGTCGGACACGCAGACACGCAGCGCCAGTTTGCTGACTCACAGGAAGGGAGGACACGGATGCGCGAGGCGCACCACCTGGGCTCATCTCCAGTTCTGTTGGAACCGGCTGAGTGTACCCAGAGCATCGGAAACAGCGACCGCCGCGTCCAGTTTGCCCAGGACATTCCCACGTCCCGGAGACCCTCGGGTCCCAGGCACACGGGGACAGCTGGTGAGCCAGGACAGAGGCTCAGGTGGGCAGACACGTGGACTGTCAGAGCCTCTTCTCTAGTCCTGGTTTAAAGCAGAGTGGTCCTTGTTAGCATTCAGGGAGTCAGACACCCCAGGATCCCTGGAGCTGGCAGGCAGGGGAAGAGGGCTCCCCGCTGCTCCAGGGTAAGCCCTGGGGTCAGGCATCCTCCCCGCTGGGCCTCCATCTGCACAGTAACCAGCAGAGGGGGCGCTTAGAGTCCAGACCTGGGGCCACACACCTGGGCTCACCACTCGCTCTGTCTTAACCAGCTGAGTGAGCTGTGTCCCCATCTGTGACCAGTATGGCTCCCAGGGCAGTGGTAAAGGATAGATGGATGGAAGGGTGGATGGACAGATGCTCATGAAGATGCTCACCTACTGCAGGGCTTGGCATAGTGAGAGCTCAATGAATGTCGGCTACTTATGTTTATTCTCCTGTGGGCTCCATGATCCCCAGGCCCCTGACTCCCCATCTAGCGCACCTTCCACCCCATTAACCTAGAAGAAGCGCCCCCAGCAGAGCAGGTGCAGCCCCACCCCCATCTTCCCCAGGAATCTAGCTCTTCTTTGTCCTGTTCTGCTGACTCCCAGATTGTCCCGGCACAGTGGCCCCAGCCCCCAAGACTGTGTCCTGAAGACCCCTACTGGGACCCTCTTCAGAGCCCCCAGCTTTCGGGACTGAACTCTGACCTCCATTCTTCCAGCCTGAATTCAGCCCGCTGGAGGGCAGGGGGCCAGGCCAGAAGGCCCTGGGAGGCTGAGGCCCTGGCGTGCCTCCAGGCAGAAGCAGCAGACCTCAGCAGAAACGTCCCCGACAGGGACAACAGGGACGCAGGTCAGTGGCCTGGGAGGAGCTGGCAACACAGGCCTGCGAAGCCCAGGCAGGAGCCGCAGCGGAGAACAAAGGGGTCTTGGAGAGAGGCCCAGGCCCAGCTCCCGCCTCTGAAATCCACACCAGGGGGAAACACCAGGAACTGGCGGCAACTGCAGACAGCCGACCACAGCGACTTTGGCCCGGACTCTGGGATCCCCTGATCCTAAGGTGAGGCCACCTGGCGCGGAGGGAGCCCCTTCTGCAGAGAGCTCCTTGCGATGTCCCCAGCGGAGTGGCCGGGGGCTCAGAGCTCCAGCCCTCCCAGCAGGCTCTTCCTCCTCCTCTGCCTGCTGAGATCCTAGTCACCCTTCAGAGCCCTGCTGGAGCTCAATGTCACCTTCTCCGGGAAGGTCACACCCCCCAGAAGTTAGATGCCCTCCCGTCCCCCTTCACAGTGCTCACCTACTGTCCCAAACTTGGTCTTGGAGCAGCCATCTCCCTCAGCCCGTGAGTCCCGCCATGTCCCCACCATGTCCGTTCACCTCCGATCCCCAAGCCTGGCCCAGAGTGTTCCTTCCCAAAACACCGAGCCAGTCAGTGAATCTACTAAAGATCAGGGTCCCAGCCAAAAGCCAAAGGGGATGCTGACCGCAAGCATGAGGTCACACCCAGGGCACCCTGGGAACGAGCCAGCACCTGCAGCTTGAGCGACGGTGAGCAGCTGCGTTCAGCCTGGAAGACACTCTCACTGGCAGCACAATCTCCTTGGATGGCACAGGAAGGGGCAGGGCTTGACGGCCATTCTCCGCCACCCAGGCAGAGCCCTGCCAACCACCCAGACCACACGTCACCAGAGTCCCACTGGTGACTCCAAGCCCTGTCACCAGGACTCCCACTGCGCCCCCAGAGCTCCACTCTGAAGCCTGAGGCACCCTCCAAATTCGAATGCTGTGCTCCGTGTTACCCACACCTCCACCCCACACCAGGCTCTCTCTACACCCGCCCACGGAGCCTCACGCTAGGGCGAACCGACTCCCCTCCTCCTAGAGGCCCTCCGGGATGCTCCCTCCGTGTTTCACCGAACACACTCTGGACAGTTTCATCTGTGTCCCTATGAATCTGAGGACCATTGCATCCAAGGAGGACTCAGCGTCCTTCCCATGACTGTCCAGCACACCCGGGTTGGTGGTCCCCCCTTCCATGTGACCTCTCAGCCAGAAACCAAACATGAGCGTGTCCCTGTCCTTCACCGCCACTGTCTGATCAGTCACCTGTCTGACTGATTTGCTGTCTAACCATCTGGGTCTGACCCCTCCTCAAGCTGGAGCCTTCTTTGTCTCTCCCTGGACCTTGGCAGCGGACTCTTCGTTGGTCTCCAGGCATCAGTCCTCAGCGCCCCTCAGTGCACCCTCATACTGGCCACCAGAGGGACCTGTTTAAAATGCACTCTGACCAAGTCACAGTTCTTAAAAGTCTTCAGGGCTCCAGCCTTCCAGTGCAACCGCCCACAGAGGTTTTGCAGGGCGCTCCGCAGACAGCGACCCCTGCGTTCGGAAAATGCTGCGCACCCCAGGCCCCTCTTTACTGTGCCAACGCGCATCAGCCTCTCGTCACCCCAGCACCTTCCTGCCAGCTGCAGACTTACCGCCTTTCCCACCCGCCAGGCTTCCAGACCCTTCATTTTCTCCCCGATTCTGAGCCAGAAGCCTGGAGTCAGGCTGGCCTCTGGCTCCCACGGCCCCCTCCCCCGCAGGCACAGCGGGTCAGGGAAGATTGCAGGGCCCACGGGGCTGGATAAAAACCATCATCTGGAAAGCTTGCGAAACACAGCTTCCTGGGTCCCGCCCCTGACTTTCTGAACCCCCCTCTCCAGGGCTGGGGCCTGGGAGTCTGCATGTCCAGAGAGCTTGCCCAGGCTGCGGTGATGCCCAGCTGGGGGACATTCCTTCCCCAACCCACCCCCTTCCCATCTCCACTGCCCACAGCACCCTGCCCACGACCCAGGGCATCGTCACCTCTCTGTGCCCCCGCGATGTCTGCCCTCCCAGCCGCTCTCCACACTAACGCAGGGCAACTGCACGAAGCAGCAGCGGGCCGGCCTCACCTGCGCCCAAACCCTTCCAGGTGCCTTTGCGCGCCCAGTGGACGGCGTCGCCTCCCCTCTGCAGACCACGCGCTGCAGCCACACGGAGGCACGTGGCCCCCCAAACACACAGCTCTGCCTTGGCCCACGCTGTTCTTTCCCCTGCCCGAAACGTGGGGACACACAAGCTTTCGGGGTGCTAGGCTCCCCGCAGCGGCGCCAAAAAGCGTGCTGAGGGGGAGGGGTCAGGCTTTCCCGCCTTTGCGCACGTGGCGAGCATGGGATCCCCAACTGGGAGCAGGGGGGACCGGCTGGGCACACCCAGAGGCACAACTGGGCGTGGCAGAGCGCGGCTCCCACCCCTGCGCCCCCACTTCTTTGTACCACGGACATTCTCACACACACACAAAGTGCAGGGGACGGATAACGCTCCCCTAGGCTTCCGCGACTGCGCCCTCGTGCCCATCGCGTTTCCTCTAACCCTCTCCCGGCACCCGCCGTGGAGCGGTGGCCTGGCGGGCTGGTGGCAGACGCGCCCACGCCCAGCCCAGCTGGAGGAGAGCGGGTGCCAGGCCGCCCCCTGGAGACTCGGACGCCCAGGCAGCACCGGGGCGTGGGGCTCGGGGGCTCCCGCCCCGCACGGGCCGCGGGGGCGGGGCCGGGGGCGGGGCCGCGGGGGGCGGGGTGGGGGGCGCTCTCCGTGGAGTCGGGGCCGCGCTGGGCGCAGAGCGCAGTCTCCTCCGTGCAGCTCCGAGTGCGCCCGCCGCCGCCAACATGCCCAACTTCGCCGGCACCTGGAAGATGCGCAGCAGCGAGAACTTCGACGAGCTCCTCAAGGCCCTGGGTGAGCTGGCGCGGACGCGCCCCTTGGAGGTGCCCCGGGCGCGCAGGGGGCGGGTTGGGGGGGCCGACCTTCCGCAGGAGAAAATCCCGGGTGCAGATCCGAGGCGCACCCCACCCAGGAGCCGAGTGGAGTCCAGCCCAGGTTGGGTGGGTGCTGGGCGCCTTCCCCGACGGCTCCGCCTTTATCTCGTGGGTGATCATCGCGACGAGAGATTGTTGCCGGGTCCGCGGAGGGTCAGGGACTTTACATTTGGAGACTCGGCTCGAATCCGGGCCCTGCCACGAATCCGAGTTTCCCGGGGAAGGCCCCCCACCGCCCCAGGGTCTCATCCGCACGGCCAGGGCCAGGGCAGGGGAGGGGTGCCCAGCGCTGGGACTCGAGCCCGCGGCGCGCTTCCCGGCAGGTGTGAACGCCATGCTGCGGAAGGTGGCCGTGGCCGCCGCGTCCAAGCCGCACGTGGAGATCCGCCAGGACGGGGACCAGTTCTACATCAAGACGTCCACCACCGTGCGCACCACCGAGATCAACTTCAAGGTCGGAGAAGGCTTTGAGGAGGAGACCGTGGACGGACGCAAGTGCCGGGTGAGCCCGGAGCTGGGCACGGCCCCGGGTCCCTGCGCCCGCGGCTGGACCGCGCCGCCCCGCGCCCCCGCCCCTGCAGCCTGTGGCGCGCTTGCCTGGCGCGCGTGTGCACCGGCGGGTGCAGAGGTCGGTGCAGCCGGTGCCCTGAGCTCCGGAGAAAGCGGTTTTCCCCCTTCCAGCCCCGTCCCCAGCCCCGTCCCCAGGCGCCGCGCCGCGTTCCCTAAGAGGCTCCTGCAGCGCTTTGCGGCGACCCGGGTGCGGGCGGCGCTGGCGCAGGAGGTGGCAAGGCCGGTGCGTTCTCTGTCGCAGGTGGATGGGCAGCCCGAGGCCCGCCCCCCGTCCCCGGGCCCCTGGGGACGCCCTGGGTCCAGTTTCAGCAGTTTTGAGGGCGCTGGCGCCTTTCCCGCCCGCCGGCCCTGGTTCCTTAAAGGAACGGTGCGATCTTTCCAACAGCAAGGCGGATTCCGCCTGGGAATGGCCCAGAGCTCTCCGTCCTCAAGGACGGGTTTTGTATCCCTCCCACGTGGGCCCTGGGTGCACACGCGGATTGCGGGGTGGGGTAGGCAAGGGGCTCTCACTCCTTTTTCAGACGGGCAGGCTTGCTTAGGTTGATCTCCGGGGTGGGATGGAGCGTCGGTCACCCGGGTATTTGGAGGACAGATGGAAAAATAATCGCTGCTGCTGCCACTTACTTAAAAAGTGACAAAATGTCTTCCTTTTGTTGGTATTTTTAAAAAAAAGAAAGGAAAAACGAATCACATTCCAGACGGTGAGAATTGTTCTCGCTTTTCCCGGATGGTGCCTGGGTGTCGTACTGAGTGGGCTCCCTGGGCATTGGGCTTGGCACAAGGACAGAGACACAGCCCCGGAGCAGGCAGACCCACATGGCAGTATTTGACCCTGGAGTGGGCACAGCCTGAAAATGAGGGCCTGGAGGTGGGGTAGGGGCGGGGGATCTGAGCCTCTGTCGCCACACGGATTGTAAAAGCAGAAGAGCCGGACAGTGTAGTTACAGGACAGGCCTGGCAACAGGCAGGGCTCAATTTGGGGACATGGTCAGTGGCTGCTGCCAGAGACTGTAATTCTGATAAAAATTCCAGAGGCTCCCAGGACAGCGTGGAGAGTGGGCTTTGTCCCCACCCTGCCTGATGAAGCCTGTGTGTGGGTTAAAAAGCCAGTAGGTCCTGGGTCCCCAGCACCCCATGCTGCTCTCTGTGCGTCCGTCCCTCCTGCTTCCCACCTCCAACAGCCCGAGGACCCTTCAGAGTGCTGTTCTGTTTGGTTTTTAATTTTTTTTTCTGGAGAGACATCACCTGGAAAGTGGCTGAGTTGTTACCCTCAGAGCCAGAGACACCCCGCTTTATCAGAGCAGGCTGATGAGGGCACGCAGAAACAGGTTACCTCAAATCCGTGCAGGGAACAGAGCGCCCCACAAACACGGTGTCGTAGCCGTTGTAAAATTTTGTAGCTCTGATGGGAAGGTTCTTGCCTTTAAAATCCAAATTGCTCGAGAGGTAGTCCATAAACGAACCGTTGCAGGCTCTCAACCGTGTTCCTGGAGCCTGCCCGAGGCGCGGCTGCTTCGGTGACCGTGTGCCACATGTGTCACACCAGGTATAGACGCGCCCCATAAATCCGTGACCCGCGCCCTGACTCTGGACGCTGCTGATGGGGACCATGTGTGGCTCCGCCGCCCAGCTCATTGTTGCCCACAGCCCGGCTGCCGCGGCCGTAATTAATGTCACTGATGGTTTTCCTGCCCGCAGAGTTTAGCCACGTGGGAGAATGAGAACAAGATCCGCTGCACGCAGACCCTGCTGGAGGGTGACGGCCCCAAAACCTACTGGACACGCGAGCTGGCGAACGGCGAGCTCATCCTGGTGAGGCCTTTGACCCCGTCCCCACAGGTGCCGCCCGCCCTGGCCCATCAGGGAGACACTGCTGGCAGAGAGCCCGCGGTGACGTTGAGGCCACAGGCTGTCACTGCTCCGTGGGGCCGAGCAGGGCTGGAGGTGGGCTGCTGTCGCCACCCGTGGGCCCTGTGCTGACTCCCAGCCGGCCTGCCCGCCCCAGCTCCTGAGGCTGGGGCGCCGGAGGGCCCCGGGTTCACTTTCTCCCCTTCTCACTCTTGGTGTTTCTGCCTGGGCTGGATTTCGGGGCATTTTCACGTAGCCCTGGGCGTCTTAGACGACGTTTTACCCCCACTCGCTCACGGGAGCCAATCTGAGTAACGCAAGGCGGAGGGCGGAGCCCTGCCACTGCGCAGGGTGGGGTGTGCCCTGATCGGAGCCGATGAAAACGTTTAAGCAGCGCCGGCCACGCTCCCTGTGCCTGGTGAGGCGGACTGAGGACGTGACCGGCTCCTCCCTGTGGCACAGGTGTCGGCGGGAGGGCAGGGCACCCCATGTCTCTCTGTTCAGGGCAGCACACGCTTCCCAGGCACCTCTGTCCGTCAGACTAGAGGACAGGGCGGTGGCGGTGGGTCACAGGGAGGGACGTCCTTTGTTCTCCTCAGGCTCGTTGTTCACACCTCCTCTCTGCCTGCCCCTTGGCTCTGTCCCCCTGAGATGTCGGAGGGGACTCCCTGCCTGGGCTGGGCACGGCTGCCTTCTCACGCTGTAAGAGGAGGGCTTGGGCCGCAGTCCGATCCCTGGTCCCTCTGGGCCCTGCGGTTCCCGTTGTTCTGCGAGAAGACCTCCCTGGCGCTCGGTTACTCGGCGGAGGCGCCTGGTCCCTGCCCTCCTGTCCTGCGATGATGCCACGCGCCTCCCCCTCTTCCTAGAGAAAGGACGGCCGTGCCTGCAGCCGGGTGACGCTGTTTCCGGGCAGGGGAGGCCTGCTGGGTGCGGGGGGGCAGTCTGAGACGTGGACACGCAGGAGGAAGGGACGTCTGTGGTCCGCAGGGACCGGGGTTAGCGAAGAGGGGACCAGGTGGCTGAGAATCCGGGTGGGGCTGAGGGCGAAGCAGGCTCGGCTTCTTCCGTGAGAAACCAATTTTAATAAGCCCTCGGGCATCGAGCAGCCAGGGCACAGCCCCCGCTCTGCCCGGAGGACTCTGCCACCTCAGTTCCCGCTGCGGCGCCTCCTGCGCATCCCGCCCTGGCTGGGTGGACACGTGCACGGGCCTCGAGGGGAGCCCTCGTTCTGGGCATTTTGGGTGAGAGAGGTGGGCTTTCATCTCAGGGGTGATGCTCACGAATACATCCGAGTGTAGGGAGATGTCGGCTCGTATAACAGGAGGCGGGTGAACTCTGGTGACGCGGAAACTGGCCCGGCGGGGCCACCCGTACGCCGTGCTGGCTCCAGGCTGCCTTCTGAAAATGGGGTACCGCCCTCCTGCCAGTCTGGAGCACCCCACCGTTTCTTTCGGGAGCCTCCGGCACCGCTTCCAGGCCGATGAGGACGTTTCAGAGGTGGTCGGAAGCGTGGCGGCTTCTCCTGGGGTCCTGAAGCCCTGCGTCGGCCCAGGTCCAGGCAGTGCGGGTGGAGTCCGGTTCCCAAGTGGCATTCGGGCTGACACCACGGCCCTAGGGCTCGGAGAGGTTTGGTTCTGAGAGGTGCATGTCAGGAGCAACTCCCGCCCCTCCCGGCTCACAGGGCGTCCGCTCTCCTGACCGCTGCAGGGTGACGGGGAGCAGGTGTGCAGAGCAGGTGCAGCTGTGACCCCGAGTTCCCTCCTCAGAAAGAAGCCAGGGATGAGACCTCGCTCCCTCAGGAACCACTCATGGCCAGTGTCTCCCTGGAACCATGTGCTGGGACGGGGTCCGGGCTCGGGCTCTGGGGGCCTCTCCTCACCAGCCAAGGGAGCCGGGCTCTCTGTGCAGGGTTCCCACCCTCGCTGGAGCCTCGGGCCCCTCTGAGAATCTGAGAGAGGGACCTCCCTGCCGAGAAATGTCCATCTGCACCCAGACACCCACCTCAGGCCCACGGCCTGGGGAAGTCTTGCTTTTTACTTTTTTGTTCTTTATTGACTTTAGAGAGGGAGCGAGAGAGAGAAACATCGATGAGAGGGAACATCGATTGGCCGCCTCCCGCATGCCCCCCACTGGGGATCGGGCCCACAGCCTGGGCACGTGCCCTGACCAGGAATCGAACTGGCGGCCTCTTGGTGCAGGGTCGACGCTCAACCCCTGAGCCACACCGGCCGGGCTGGTTTTGTATTTTTAAAATTCATGTTGGTTTCCCTGTTCCATGCCTGTGAGCGCCCCAGGGAGCAGGCCTGTGAGTCACTGCTGGTGTGGGAGGTTGACGCAGCTTGCTCATGGGCGACACGACTTCAGGGGACAGGAAAAAACCACCCTCCATCTGGACTGGTTGGTGTCTGCCCCACAGCAAACAAACAAACAGTCACAGCAGTCGGCCGGAGAGCCTTTGGGATCATCCTGGGGGGACCCTCCGCTCCATCCACAGATGGTCAGGAGAGCAAGGCCGAGGCTGTGCTCCCATGGCCGAGCGGCAAACACGTGTAGGTTGCAGGTGACACCCTGTGGGTGTTGCTCCCACAGCACCTCCAGCTGTCTGCCGGCCGGACACCCCCTGCGCGGCCCCCTGTCTGGCAGGGCGGTGCTGGACCCCAGGGCTCCAGCTGCCCGAAATCCCCGGCTCCCTTGAAGTCATTTGCAAAGAGACAGAAACCGTTCCGGACTCTCCCTTTCGGTTTAATTTCACAACCGGAGCCAGGGAACCGGGGTTGCTGAGGTCAGCACTCGCCGGTCCCAGAAGCCGAGGAGGGCGGCCCGTCACCTAATTCTATACCCTGGCCGCCTCTCTGCCAATACAGAGCTGAAGGGAGGGAAAGACGAAAGAGAGGAAGAAAGAAAAACACCCCTTAGCGTGCGCACAGGGCACAGGAAATTGAATGTCTGTTTCAAAGAGTTTTTAACGGGGCAGTAAGTGGCCTTATTAGTGATACGCTGTAAACGTTTTCCTTCCCTTCCACAGACGTTTGGCGCCGATGACGTGGTCTGCACGAGGATTTATGTTCGGGAGTGAGGGCGGCCGACTCGCCCCAGCTTTGGCGGTGCGATGCATGTCCCCCCACCCCGAGGAGTGTCCTAGGTCGGAGCTGCTGGTGCACGGCCCCTTCCCCGCTAACGTTAGTGACCCCGTTTCCCTGTGCCCGTGGCGTAGTGGTTCCCCGAGGCCTTTGTGCCATGTCCCTGGTGCTCCTCAGTCTGGCATCTGCACGGTCCCGTCATCATTAAACTGGTTGGACACGTCTCAGGGCGTCTCTCTTCTTTGCCCCTCAGTTTCGTCACCAGCTGCTGCGCCTGCTGTCCCCCCCTGCCCCCCGCGCCGGCCTGGGCCCTGCCCGGGGTGACGGCAGGGCTGTGAGCTGGGACCCCTCCTCGGAATCCAAGGTGTGTGGGGCTCACGGTGCTGTTTCCTCCCTGCGTTCGTTGGGGTGCTTGGTGGCTCCCAGCAGGAAGGGGGGCACATTCCAGAGGTTAAGTGATGACAGCGCAGACGGAAAGGGTGCGTATGGACAGGGCGAAGGAACCGCTCAGCATGGGAGGCACTCGGACCAGCAGCGGCTCAGGGTCACCACCTGGCCCCGCCTGAAGACAGGAGGGACCCAGGCGGCACTGGCCACGGGAGCTGTGGGCCGAGAGAGGGACCACTGTGCAGAAGCTGTGGCCAGAGAACAGCCACGGACAGCATGCCCCGGTGTGCGTGGGCGGGTAGGTGGGGTGTCTTTGACTCTGCTTGGAAGTGGGGGCTAAGGATCCTGACCTCCCACTTTTCAGTCTCTGAGCTACCTGTTGTGCCCACTGGCCAAACCCAACTGGAACCTAGATAGCAGGGCAGTGTGTGTGTGTGTGTATGTGTAGGGGGTGTATGTAGGGTGTGTATGTGTAGGGTGTGTGTATGGGGGTGTATGTAGGGTGTGTGTGTAGGGGTGTGTGTGTGTAGGGGTGTGTGTGTGTAGGGGTGTGTGTGTGTGTGTGTAGGGGGTGTGTGTGTGTAGGGGGTGTATGTAGGGTGTTTGTGTAGGGGGTGTATGTGTAGGGGGTGTATGTGTAGGGTGTGTGTGTGTGTGTGTAGGGTGTATGTAGGGTGTGTATGTGTAGGGTGTGTGTATGGGGGTGTATGTAGGGTGTGTGTGTAGGGGTGTGTGTGTGTAGGGGTGTGTGTGTGTAGGGGTGTGTGTGTGTGTGTAGGGGGTGTGTGTGTGTAGGGGGTGTATGTAGGGTGTTTGTGTAGGGGGTGTATGTGTAGGGGGTGTATGTGTAGGGTGTGTGTGGGGGTGTATGTAGGGTGTGTGTGTAGGGGTGTGTGTGTGTAGGGGTGTGTGTGTGTGTGTAGGGGGTGTGTGTGTGTAGGGGGTGTATGTAGGGTGTTTGTGTAGGGGGTGTATGTGTAGGGTGTGTGTGTGGGTGTATGTAGGGTGTGTGTGTGTAGGGGTGTGTGTGTGTGTGTGTGTGTGTAGGGTGTGTGTGTGTGTAGGGTGTGTGTGTGTAGGGGGTATGTTTATGTGTATTTATGTGTGGGGGTGCTGTCCACGAGTCACCTCCCAGGACACACAGCAGACAGATGGACAATCCACAGTCACCAACTTTTACTTTGAAAGATAGGAGACTTCACATAAAAAAACTGCATTTCTTTAGAGAACAGTTGGGAGCTCTGGCACCCCGGACTCCATCCCACAGGAACAGCTGGCTGGCAGTGTCCCCCTTCTGCATGGAACTGCACCCTCTGCCTCCCCGTACGCCCCACCGTTGCCCCTGCCTGCCTGGCTTCCCGGGCCTCTCTCCCGGCCGTCCTGGGCCCACGGGCTCCTGGCCAAGCCCGGCCGGGACCGCGGACCAGCGGTGCTCTGGTGCGGGCGAGGCCAGAGGAAGGGACCCCAGAGAGCCCACTGTACCGGGGCAGACACAGCCCAGGCGCCTGAATGACTTGAGGACACGTCTAACCCGACTGCCCACACCCCGCGGCCCAGAGCTCCGTGTTGCGTGTGGGGGACCGCGGTCCCCGCTCTGAGATCCCACCGCTCGCGGCAGAAGCCTGCGAGGAGGCTCTCCTTCCGAATCGGGAGGCCTCTCGCTGGACCCTGTGGGCGCCTCGGCGGGGCCCCCTCTGAGACAGTGCCGTGGCCCTCTCCCTGCAGCCCAGACCCACCAGGCAGGGTTCTGGGTCCAAGTCCACAGAGCCCAACACCTTGCTGTCCTTCCCCGGGGGCCCGAGGCGCCTCTGCTCGTGTCCAGAACCTCTCAGAACCCCTCATGCAAACAGCTCCCCCAACGTCGGGTTGGGTGCCAGTGCTGCTGGGACCAGTGGGCGCGGGCACGGTGCCTCCCCTCATTCCACTCGGTCCTCCGTCTGGGGCTGGACACGCTGGGCCGGAAAGAGCCGCCCAGTTCCACAAGGAGAGAGCGGGCAGGAGGCCTGGCCGGATGGCCTCGGGCGGAAGGGCTGGGCGGGGCCTCTCAGGATGGGAGGACCTGGCACCGAGCATCCGCGGTTCCCTCACACTCAGAACATCCGCTGCAGCCCGGTGCCCTGAACCAGGTTCCTTCATTTTCCAGAAAGAAAAGGCACAAGTGCTTCTCATTCCCTCTCGGAACCCCACTCAGGACGCATTAGTGTTCCACGGAACCCCGTGTGGGGATGGCCGCCACCATCTTCAGCCTTACGAGGCGTGTCACATGCATTGTGTGTGGTATATGACATACACACGCAGGTAGGATGAAACTCTCCGCTGTCAGTAATCTTGCGGAAACACCGAGTCTCGCTCTAAACCCTGACACCCCCGCTCAGCAGCACCCACGTGGGGTGGCCTCCTCGGGGACTCCAGAGAGAACAGGGGCGTTGGTGCCCGTTAGCCCTGGCCTCGCTCCGGGCCACGCCTTTGGGGATGACCCTGGACACTGCCGTCAGGGAAGAAGCCAGGCTCAAAGGGTCACAGATCACAGAATTCCACTTACATGAAACTTCAGAAAAGATAAACCCAGAGGCAGAGCAAAGGGCACCGGCGGCTTCCCGAGGCCGGCGGCGCTGGGGGAAGACGTGGGGTGGCGGCGCGGGTCCAGGGTGTCTTTTGGGGGTGATGAAAATGCTCTAAAATGGATGGGGTGATAGCTGAAGAACTCTGTGGACACACTAAAAATCACCGGACTGTGCATTTTAAATGGGTGGGCTGTACGCGATGTGAATTAGGCCTTAATAAAGCTGTTTTTGAAAAGCGTTTGAGAGCTTGCTCCCCGGCAGATGTCGTCAGTTTGGCTCAAATAAACCCATAAAAATTAAAGGAAAAAACCAAAGCTGTGTGTGCGTGTGTGTGTGTTAAGGAATGTGCTGATCTCCTGGTTTTGGGGAGTACTGGGGACGCTCTCAGGACCGAGGGATGAGGGGCAGGAGCTGGGCCTCGGGGCCTGGACCCCGACTCGGACCCTGCAAGCCCTCCCTGTCCCCATGGCACTCCATTCTGATTTCTTTATGCCGAGGCTTCTGGTCAGGTGTCCCCTACGGACCAATCAGCTGGGTTAGGGCACAATGACTGGCTGGACCTGAGTCACGGGACCTGTCCCGGGCCTGGGGCCGAACCTGCCATCTGTACCTTCCCCTCCACCTCATTCCATTCCTCACAGTGCGCTCGTTGGAGAAACTGGTCGCTTGTCCTGTGAAGTCTCCCCGTCTGGGTGTGGATGGCGCCCTCTGCACGGTGCTTTGCGTGGTGTCGCCCGTCCTGTGTTTCTCGCAGCTGGTGGTGAGGACTGGAAATTCCTCCGATGTTCTTGGCGGGAGCACCGCAGAGCCGCTGCGCCGCCCTTCCTCGGGGGACTCGTCAGAGCGCCTCTTTCCGGGGTGTTGGCGGTCACTGGTGGTCACTGCCCTGGCGGCTGAAACGGGGATGGCCGATCATCCCATCTTCGTCTATGAGCTGGGGTACCTCCTTAAAAAGATACCTCCCTCACCCACTCGGTGGTCAGCCGGACACACGGCATGCATGTAAAGGAAAGGCAGAATATACGTGTGGCCCCTTCCCTGGATTGACTGGTTTTCAAATGAACCGGAGCACTGGGCATCCTTCAAAAAGGACCAGTGCATTTTTGTGGGTTTGGAGGGTTTCCTTTGTTTTTCCTTTTTCTGAACGTCCCTATGAATTTGCGGACGGAAATGCATGTGATGTGTTTTAGTTCACTGCAGTTATTGTCCTTCTGGATGTCAGACGGGGCCCGACCTTGGCCAGGAGGGAGCCTCTCTGAACGGACGCTTGCGTCTTCCGCAAGCACCCTCGTCATCTTTGAGAACGCGCTTGCCACTTGGCACGACGAGATGCTCCAGGCTCGTTTTGCGCCATTCCTGCTCCAGCCCGGGAATCTGCCGTTTCTCCAAAGAGCTCCGTCCTGTCGGAGGGCGGTGGTGTTGAGAGGCCATGATCCCGGGGTCAGGACACGGGTCTCCGTTGGATTCTGAGACAGAAGCCAGAGCCTTAGGAGTTAGTCTGTAGACCTTTGTTCCCGCTGTCTTTACCCAAGACAATAGTGAGTAACATTCAGATGCCACCCGCACTCTGGTGAGCTGTCTGAGAAATGACATCGCTTCCTCTTCACGCCGAAATCTGAGCAGTTTCTGACCAACCCCTCTGAGGCCGGGGCGGAGGTGGAGGGCGCAGGAACTTGGAAACTTTTGTCTGCTGCTCAGCACCAAGCCCTGAGGGCTGTTGCCGTGCAGAGGATGTAACTTGATGGGCAGAGGTCCCGTCCAATCAAACCTCTCGCCTCAGGGGAGGCGGGCTCAATGTTCCCTTCTCCAGAAAGAATATTAAGTGTAATTTCTGGGCAGAGAGTGAATTCTCACAAGGATTCTGCAAACATTATGTGTTATATTTGTTACAAGTGGATACTCTATCTTTCTGGGAAAGTTTCCTACAGACTTAGAGAAATTTACTTAATAAAAAAAAATGGATGACTGTCACCGTTTATAATTCCACTTATTTCCACAGGGGAGGGCAGCTCATCAATTATGGTGAATGGAGGGAAGGGCTTTGGGTCCCAAAGGTGGAATTTGATCAAGGTGTCTGCAAATATTCATACTCGGGGCGAGTGGGATTTCGGGATTCTAGCATGAAAAATGTTGGCTTCAGAAACAATGCGTAAGAAAAATATATTGAGTCATAAACCCTTACAAAGAACATAATGAAAAGTGAAAA